AGTTTAAGCCTTTCAACTATGTCATCTGTTTCGATTACGAGAAAGTATTGGATACAACATACATATCACGTTATTCATTTGAAACATAAAAGTTTATCCAACAAAATCGTATTTCATATATATTTTATGGAACATATTTATAGATGATGCGATATATTTATCTATTTAAGACCTTTTTGTTTTGACCTTTTTGTACATATCAAGAAATATGAAACATAAGGGCACATGAAACTTGTCAAAAATGTATTTAGAAAGCAAAATAAACATGTGGGATGAAATTAGATCTTGATTTTATTGTGCTATAACTTAAAACTTTGTTATATGACTCTAGTTTCAAATGAGTTCTACTTTGTTCTAGTATGAAGTAGAGTTAGACCTAAGCTAAAGCTAAAGCAAGCTATGATATAAAAAGCTCAAATGTATATATTATACATATGATTTAATGTAACATCCCATGACAAAGTCAAAGAAGATTAAACAACTTTTGTGATCCATGAACCTAAGATCCAACTTCTTTAGCTGTAATCAAAGTTTGGCAAGACATTAATGAACCTTTTTCTACCATGTCGATCCACCAACCATTATTTTAAAATCCGGACTGGAGAGCAACCCATTTTGCTGTCTGGGTCACGGGTCAACCAGTCCAACCGGTCAGTTGGACTGATAACGTCAGCGACAATTTTATTTTTTTAAAATGACATATTAATCCCTCAAATTTTAATATATTACAAAAATTTTCCTAAAAAGTTTGAATTAGTCCCTAAAATTTTTATTTATTTCAAAAATGCCCCAAACAATTACTAATTAATCCTAAACTTTTGACATATTTTTAAAACACCTTTATAAAATTACAAATTAACCCTTATAATTTTGAAATATTACAAAAACCTCCTAAGATCTGAACCGGATTGGAGAAGCTGTCGAGTCCCGATTGGACAGGCTGGTCTGTTCTGGTTTTTAAATCACCACCAACATGTGAAATATTATTATTGTTTGGATGAAGATATACCACCACAACCTATAAACTCAAATTTAACTAAACACATAACTCTTTACAATTTCAGATGCTTATAAACTCAAATTAACTTATAAATATTAACGGCTTATATGCTAATTTTCATAAACTCAGCCAAACAAACACGTATGATTAAGTTTACTATTAAATGATTTATTTTAAGTAACCAATAGGGTGTGAAAGGCCAAAACAGCAGAACTTGTAAATGATGGTAACAAAATCAAATCCATCCCATATAAAACTCTCTCATAGAAATCTCTCCTTCTTCACAGAGACTCTCACTTTTCCATCTCTCTCAAAGGTCAGTCAGATCCAGATCCCTCTCTAACCTTCTTTATTTCGTCATTTATTGATTGTATATTGCTTTTACTATTTCATATCTTTGCTTTTCCATTCATTTCACGATCTGGGTCTCCCAGATCTGCCTTGAATTCATCCAAAACTGATCGAGAATGGATTTAACTTGCAATTTTAGCATCTGGGTGTTGTTTGTTTTCTTTGTATTTCAATCCTTTTGTTATGGGTTTTACTTGCCTGGTAGCTACCCTCACAAATACGTTGTCGGCGATGCGTTGTCTGTGAAAGTTAATTCACTCACTTCCATAGACACCGAAATGCCCTTTAGTTATTACAGTTTGCCCTTTTGTAAGCCTCAAGAGGGCGTCAAAGATAGTGCTGAGAATCTTGGTGAGCTTTTGATGGGTGATAGGATTGAAAATTCTCCCTATAGGTTTAAGATGTACACCAATGAAAGTGATATCTTTTTGTGCAAAACGGATCCGTTATCGAAAGATAATTTCGATTTGTTGAAGAAGAGGATTGATGAGATGTATCAGGTTAATTTGATCCTTGATAATTTGCCAGCGATAAGGTACACCAAGAAGGCTGGCATCTTTTGAGGTGGACGGGGTTTCAGTTGGGGTTAAGTATCAAGATGCGTATTATGTGTTTAATCATTTGAAGTTTAAGGTTCTTGTCCATAAGTATGAGGAAACTAATGTTGCTCGTGTTAGGGTACTGGCGATGCGGTTGATGTGATTCCACGAAAGCGAGGAGGGATCTGATGTGCCGGGTTATATGGTTGTTGGATTTGAGGTTGTGCGTGTAGTGTGATGCATAATGTAGATTTGGTGAAGGATTTGAAGATATATGGCAAGTACCCGAGTCAGATTAAATGTGATTCGAACATTGTGTCTATGCCTATTAAGGAGGGTCAACCAATGTGTTACTTATGAGGTTAACTTGATAGAGTGATATCAAGTGCCATCCCGTTGGGACGCTTATTTGAAGATGGAGGGATCAAAGGTCCATTGGTTCTCGATCTTGAATTCTCTTATGGTATACTTTCCTTGCTGGTATTGTTCTTGTGATCTTTTTGAGGACTGTTCGGCGGGAGTACTCGGTATGAGGAGCTTGACAAGGAAGCTCAAGCACAGATGAACAGGAGTGTTGTGGGTGGAAGCTTGTGGGGGAGTTTTCCGTGCCCCCAGCAATCCTGGACTTTTGTGTTTTGTGTTGGAGATGGAGTTCAGATTCTCGGGGCTGTCGTGACTATTTTGTTTGCTGCTCTTGGATTCATGTCACCAGCTTCCCGTGGAACTCTTATCAGAGGTATGCTGTTTTCTACATGATTCTTGGTGTTCCAGGTGGCTATGTTGCTGTTCGTCTATGGAGGACAATTGGCGGTGGTGATCTTAAAGGATGGATTTCTGTGGCATGGAGGGTTGCTTGTTTCTTCCTGGTATGCCTTTTTGATTTAAAAACTTTGAATTTCCTGTTGTGGGGTAGTCATAGCACAGGAGCCATTCCATTCTCTTTGTTTGTTATTCTGCTTCTGCTATGGTTCTGTATCTCTGTGCCCTTACCCTATTTGGCGGTTACCTTGGGGCGAAGGCACCTCATATTGAATTCCCTGTTAGAACCAACCAGATTCCACGTGAAATCCCGGCCCAGAAATACCCATCTTGGCTTTTGGTTCTTGGTGCTGGCACTCTTCCATTTGGTACCCTCTTCATTGAGCTCTTCTTTATCATGTCTAGCATCTGGATGGGTCGTGTTTACTATGTCTTCGGTTTCCTCTTGATTGTTTTGATACTGCTTGTGGTGGTTTGCGCCGAAGTGTCTCTTGTTCTCACATACATGCATCTTTGTGTTGAGGACTGGAAATGGTGGTGGAAATCCTTCTTTGCGTCAGGATCAGTAGCAATCTACATTTTCTTGTACTCCATAAACTATCTCGTTTTTGATCTTCGAAGTTTGAGTGGACCTGTCTCGGCCACTCTTTATTTGGGATACTCTCTTGTCATGGTCATAGCAATCATGCTAGCAACAGGCACAGTTGGATTCCTTTCTTCATTCTGGTTTGTGCATTACTTGTTCTCTTCAGTGAAACTGGACTGAAGACCTCTCCCCTTTCCAGATATTAGCATTCTGAAGAGCAGTTGTGGTTCACTGGCGGATTAAAGCAACCTTTATGGAAGTCTATCATGTTTTACTTTTATTTTCGAAATTTATTTTGATAGGAACTTAGTAAATTGTAATATCAATAATTTGGTCCAGCTTTCCTTAATTTTTGTTTACATTGAGATCATGGCATGATAGTGTTATACCATAGTGTATTTGCATCCTTGCGGATTAGAGGCTGATCTAGTTGGTTCTAGTTTGTAACTTGGCATTTTGAATTCTAAGTGCTATGTGCTTAACCATTCAAATCTTTATGGATTCTAATGCAAGGAGCAAACCTCAGTATCTTTTTTTGTTTCACAAATTTGGCTGCCTTGAATTGCATTTTGGTGCCTTTTGCTTGTTTTACGTTTTTGGTTTACAAGTTTCACGTATGAGTTTTTACAAATTTAACATTAATGTAATGATATAGCGATGTAAACTCATGTGAAATTGGTATGTTAATGTTTATCATACAACTTTGCTGTGAAGTAGCCCTGCTGATTGATGAAGCTGATATCTCAAACCAAACTAGAATGGCCAATTTAATGAACTACAAGGTTCCTTATAAGGGATCTAAAGTTGTGAAAGATTATTATATTCTATGATACTGATATAATATCATTACAAGTTGGATAGAACCGAACATATCTATGTTTGGTTGTAAAAAGATCTGTTCAAAGGATCTACACGACCGGTTAATGTAATTATAATACACACGAGAAAACAATACCGTATGAGAAAGACACTGTAGTTTATGATGATAATATTAATTAGGGGTGTTCATAACAGGTTAACCGATTTTCTAAACCGAACTTGTTTTTCGGCGAACCGGTTAAGGGGAAAACCAATTTTTCGGTTAGTCTATTTTTCCGTTAACTTATTTTTTATTTCCTAATTTAAACCAATTTTATATTTTATTATTTTTCTAGTAAACCGGTGTATATTTTGATTTTTATTGTTTTTATTATATATTTTGTTATTTTTATAATAAACTGGTTTTGGTTACCGTAAATTGTTAACCGAACTAGAAAACCGGTCTTTGTATTTCTTTGAACCGAAACCAAACCCGTTTTTCAGGTAACTAGAAAACTGGTTCGATTCAGTTTTTGTATTTTTTTTAACACCCATAATGTTAATGCCTGTATCCTCCAAAAATGGATACATAAATTGCATTAAGATGTTAGACTGAGATATTCTAATTATTATATCCTTCGTATGACCGCTTAATGTGAAACTTGCTCATGGTTAGTTAATGTATTATATATCTTTAATGTATCATTAAAACCGCATTTAGATTATTAAAATCTTCCTTCAAAAACCTCTTCCCTTGTGGTCCAATGATAAATCATTTAGTCATTGGAGTTAATTATACCCTAAGATCTTGTCTTCGAGAGACAATTACAGGGTTTATAAATAAATAAATAAATAAATAAAATATCTTCCTTCAACAATTTTTTTCTCTAAAGATGGTATAATAATAATAAAAGGTGTGGTGACCGTTTATCCGTTAAAATCAACTACTTTACAAACAACACTCCTCTTTCACACAAAACCTCTCAAGTCCAACAACAAAAATGCAGCCCTCTTCTTTACTTTCTTCTCTTCATTCCTCCATTAATCTCCATTCAACTCCCTCTCTCTCCCTTCTCCCTCCTTCTTCTTCTTCTTCTTCTTCTTCTTCCTTTCTCTCTTTTCATTCTTCTTCTTCGCTTCACTTCACCCCTCTTAATGTGTCCTTCTCCCCTCTCCATGCCACCTCCCCCACCAAAACTAAGGTACTTATACATATACATATATCACAATCCCCCCGGCAAGAAAATACGCGAAAGAGATTAATGTGTTTTTTGTTTTGGGCTGCAGGGTTTGAGTTTCAGGGTCACTTGTGCTTCCACTAATCAGCCACTCAAGGTTATGATATCAGGAGCTCCGGCTTCAGGGAAGGGGACTCAGTGTGAGTTAATTGTTCAAAAGGTAATTTAATCAAGTTTTGTATCTGTAATTTCATTTTTCAGTCAAAAGGGTTGACGAAAATTTGTTAGGTTGTGGATTGAATCAAAGGGTATAGTTATTGATGATTATTCATTCAAAAAGGGAAAAGGGTATTTAATTATCAGTCATTTTGATGGTCATAAAGTCTCAATGTTATGTGATTTTGTAATGTTTTTTTATGAATTGGCTGTGCATGGTAACACAATTGCTCATTGTACAACTAGTTTTCGGGTGATAGTCTTTGTCGTTGAGGTGAAATTAAGTTGCATAATTGGCAGGTTAATGCTGAACATTAAATGGTTTGTTTCTGCAGTTCGGGTTGGTACACATATCAACTGGGGATTTGTTAAGAGCTGAAGTATCAGCTGGGACAGAAATTGGGAATAAGGCAAAAGAGTTCATGAATGCAGGTCAACTGGTTCCGGACGAAATTGTGACTGCTGTAATACAATAATTCACTCACTGTCATGAGTTTTTTTTCTTTTTTTATTATTCTCTTGTCTTGAATATGTTGGAAGATAAATCTTCTGTTCTGTAGATGGTAACAACTCGATTATCGCGTGAAGATGCTAAAGAAAAGGGGTGGCTTTTGGATGGATATCCACGGAGCTTTTCCCAAGCTGAGAGTCTTGAAAAATTGAAGATTAGACCAGATGTCTATGTCGTGTTAGATGTATGTAACTTTTTGTATATTTGCTATCATTGCTATGGTGAAAATGGTTTAACTGGTCATAAGCAGACATTTCTCGTGAAATGAAATGTCTTTTACATGATGTTATTTCTTAATACCCAGGTTCCTGATGAAATTCTAATCGACAGATGTATTGGGAGAAAGCTAGATCCAGTGACTGGGAAGATTTACCATCTGAAAAATTTCCCTCCAGAGACTGAGGAAATTAAAGCAAGACTTGTTACCCGTCCTGATGACACTGAGGAAAAAGTAGGTCCAGATATCATTTATAATCTATACATATAGTTGAATTAATCTGCATACTGTTTATCCTTACCTTTTCGAGACACATTGCTGAGACATGGTCATCATTGTTATCTATGTCATGCAATTGCCACTGTATCTAACATGTTTTTTATGAATTTTTTCTGTAGGTGAAATCACGGCTGGATATATACAAACAAAACGCCAAATCAATCTCATCAACTTACTCAAACATAATGAAGAAGGTACTTGAACTTTCAATAAGTTGTTATAACTTGATCGTTGAACCTTGTAATATGAATATCTGTCAATCTTTGCACTGACATTTTAAAGTACAGGTTAATGGAAACCGGCCAAAAGAAATGGTTTTCAAAGATGTTGAATCTTTGCTCTCTCAAGCACAAGGAGAGAAAGTGAAAACAGCAACATCCGGTAAATGTTCTAGCATTTGAGTTGCATTATGCAGGGTTGCAGTACATTAATTTTGTTGATGCTTTGTTTCCTTCTATGTGTCAGGGAAACCAGCTCTCAAAAGTGAGGTATACTCTGTTATATTGTTTTTGATATCTATGTTAATTCTCGGTGTAGATAAGGTGTCTAAATGTAGGTCTTTAGTATATCGTTTCTTACTTCTTTAAATTTAACAGGATAGTTGGAAAGGAATTCCAACTAGATTGAATAATATTCCTCACTCTAGAGAAATCAGGAATTATTTCTATGATGATGTGCTGCAAGCAACGCAGAGAGCGGTAAACGATGGAAGAACACGACTAAGGGTCAGATTATTAGTACATACATCTTTTCTGTTAGATATTTAATTACCTTCAATCCAGAAGGCATGACGTTCTATAGTCAATAATGACAGGTGGATATTAATATTCCAGAATTGAACCCAGAAATGGTAAGGATTCAATTTTATAGAGACCAAAACTTTCCTATCAACATGTCTGGAGTTAACCTTATTTTATGATGTGCAGGATGTTTATCGAATAGGGACCTTAATGGAACTTGTTCGAGTGCTTGCTCTTTCATTTGCTGATGATGGAAAACGTGTCAAGGTATTTTACCAGTTAGTGCTGGAGAAGTTAGACATTGCGGCTAATTATCTAACTCCTTTGACTTTTTGTCTGTAAGGTCTGTGTTCAAGGGTCTATGGGTGAAGGGGCACTTGCTGGAATGCCCTTGCAACTTGCTGGAACTCGTAAGATTTTGGAGTTCATGGATTGGGGTAATGAAGGTGCTATGGGGACCTTTATCAATATCGGCTCAATAGGTACAGGATCAAATTATGTACAGCTCCTACTTGAATTACTTTTTTTCTTTCCAAAAAATAACTTATATATATATATGTAACTTGCTGACAAAAAAGGGCCACAAATGAGAGGGGAGTGTTGAGATTAGCAATACTGTACAAAAGAATATGTTCACTTCTTAAATATTATTATTGTTACTTACGTTTTGCAAAATAAATAGATATTTCATGCATTAGTTGCTACTGATAATATATTTATTTGTATGCATAGCTTGGTTAGCTGATGATTTATTATTTTGCAACTGCAGGTGCCAAAGAAGTTGGTGAACAAGATGACATGTTCATCTTAGTGGCTCCTCAAAATGCCGTAGGGAATTGTATTATAGACGTAAGGAGCTTGAGCTTAGATGTTCTGTTTTGCAATTTGAGAGCTGTCAGATTTTAAACTTGTGGTTGAATATGTAGGATCTAAGAGCTATGACTGATGTTGCTGGGCAGAGGCCGGTCATTCTTATCAACCCGAGGCTCAAGGTTATAATCTCTCACATGATATTTAGCTAAATTTTCTCTCGCATAAAGATTTTCGTATCTGGAACTAGGAGAGATATCTAGCTTGCATTTTGCACACGCAGGATTATAGATGATATGGTTCCAAAACTTGACGTATAATTAAATTAAAATATGCACGCAATGCTGACAACATAAAACATCCTCATTAGCTACTTTACAAGGAATCCGCGTTTACTGTCACAGTATGCCAGATCAAGAAACATCCTGAACAGCCACTTTCAAGTAAAAAACATGTATCGGTTCTCTTGTATGTTGAGCTAACACATTACTGAAACTATTTCAATTCAGGATTTACCGGGTTCGAGCGGTATCATGCAAGTAAGTAAGCCAGAAAGTTTAAACTAATTGACATTATTAGCAACCAGCCAGTGCCTGACTAGTCCATCTGTTTCTAGACAATGGGTAGGGAGGAGAGATTGGTGTATGCTGCTTCATTCGAGAGCTGTTATTTCTTTCGACTTCTGTATTATATGGGAACTCAATATCCAATAATGGGTGCTCTCAGGTAACATTATCTCTTGACAGTATCCACTCTCCCGTGGACAACGTTTATAATTCGATACCTTTCTCATTTCCAGGATGTCTTATCCGTATCGTTATGAGTTGTACAAGAGGGTTGATGAGGCTCCTGGCAAAGAAAAGTATGTGATCTTGGCTACATTTCCAGAAAAGCCAAATTCAGATGAAATTAACGACGCCTTCTTAGGGAAACCGAGGTAATTAACTTGCATTCAAAGATTACGCGTAGTTATTTTTGAAATGATTCACATTGTCTTTGCTTTTTTTCCCAAACGAATCATGTCTTTAATCTATTCTCGCAGGAATCAAGCAAAGAAAGCCTCAGGATTCTGGTAAGCTAGCAATATCCATATATGTGTTTAATTGCATTCATGTTGATCGATAATATACAATTTTCTTTTTCATTTTTCTCGTAGGGGCTTCTTGAGCGGCGTATTTTGAGTAGAAATACATCTGTAAATATACTGTATGCATCAGCAAGAAGTTTAGGGTGCGTTTGGCTCCCTATTTCTACTCATATTCCCCATCCTATTCTTTAAATATTGTTTGGCACATTATTCCAGAAATATTACTATATTTTTTTTATTATTTTTAGACCCCTTAAGTTTATTAATTTCATTAAATACCCTTAGAAAAAAAAGTTTAAAATTAACAAAAACACCTCCATCAACCCATACTTGCCAGATTCCGACAATCACCGTCGGTGGTAGCTGAAATTTGTACAACGGCCTACACCACCACTAGAATTGGCCGGTAGTTCACCGATCTGGTCGTCGCCCAAAGATGGACTTCTTTGGCCTTTTCCGGCCATCGACGACCACATCTGGCTGTAAATCTGGCATTTTTCAGCCAAATCCGTGGTGGATTTGGCCGGAAAAGGCCATATTGACGCGTTACGACACAGATCCGACCGGTCTATGTCGTAATGCAATTTTTCGGTCAAATTCCGGCGGTGGTGGTCGAAATCTGGCACTGCGGGTGGTGGGGGTGTTTTTGTCATTTTATATGTTGGGGTGTTTAATTAAATTAACAAACCTAGGGATTTTTTTTATAAATTTTTAAATTTTACCTTATAATACTCTCTTATTCAACTATCCAATATTATTCCCAAAATCCTATCCAAAATAATAAACCAAATGCACCATTAGTTTTTCACAGTTACAAATCCAAATAGAAAGTTATTATTCATATATTTTTTGTTACTAATCCGTCGTTATAATCTTGTAAAGAAATCTTCGATGTTGTGATTATACTGTAGATGACCCTCGTGATTCTAGTCTCTTTTTGTTCTTCACAATTACAAGTCTATCGTTAAAAATTACTTTTCACAAGTATTTTTTGGTACAAGTTCATCGTTATAAAATCTTATAAAAAAAGTTATTGGTGTTGTGATTACACTATCATTATAATCTTATAATAGTAAATAATGATTAATAATGATAATTAAGAAAAAAAATAAATAAACTCCTTTGAATGGTATTAATGAGAATAAGGATTATGATAAGGTAAAAGATGGTGACTCAAGAATATTTTAATGTTAGTGGAATAAGAACAACCAATGATTTCAATTTAGGAAAAAAAAAAAAATCTTAAGGAAATATATAACCTTCCAATAGAATTATCTTGACTTTAAATTAAACAATAAGATAAGGGTTGATTTAATATGATAAATATTGATGATCAATGTTTTGACTAATCTTACATGTCCCTTTTTATTGCTTCTCTTATTCATAATTTAAGAACTCCGATTATTTTATTATATGAAACGTCATTCAAGATATAAAATTGGGATTTTTTATCTTCGGAAAGATACATTGTTGTCATCAGCAGCAGCGGATCCATAAATTTTTGCTAGGGTAGGCCAAAATAAAAATTAATTACATATTAATATATTTGTCCATTTATATTTTTGTTAAGGTGGATCAAAATCAAAAAATTGTATATATTATATTTTTTTAAAAAAAATTGAAGGCTCACCCAAAACTAGATTGGATCCGCCCTTGGTTGTCATTATGACTTGGTTATCGAAAAGGGGAATTTCTTCGAGACCGATTCTCCTTTTATTATCAAAATATTTTATATTATTATCAATATTTGTCACAATCTTGATATGAACTTAGGAAGCAAAAACCAAGAATTCATTTTCCCACCATATATCATCCAAAGTTTATGGCGAACCAAACACTTTAGAAAAGTAAAAGTATATGCAATGAAAGCTACTGAACTATAAGTCTTTGATGGCCTACTTTGTCTTCTCCATTAAAGATTTTATAAAGGTTGTTTGATTAATACAAACAAGGCATCAATTGGTCCACCTTTCTCATAGGTAATTAAAGAGGTGGGGTTATACCTCTTTGATGGAACATGTAACAACCATTCAATTCTATATACTCACCATTTTCAAAATCTTGCATTAAATTTCTATCACAAAGTTCAAATGTCTCTTTTATACATCTTGTGACATTAAGTTAATAAACGATAGTATGTTGCGTCGTTGACGTTACTGCAACGGATAACATTATGCTCACAAACCTTTCTTATTAATTTTTTCTCACAAATGTGACGTGACAGCTCTCAATTAGTCAACTCGTAATAGATCTTGTCTGTTCAATAATAAATCTCATCTGACTAATTACAAACTGTTACGTCGCATTTGTAAGAGAAAGTTGGTAAAACTTGTTTGTCAGCCTATATTTACTGTATCACAACATAATGCAGTTAATACTCTCTAGAAAGATAAAAAAAAATTATATTTTGGTTTTAATTGTTTAAACAAGACTTATTTCTATAATGGAAGCACATAATTTGATGGATGAAGACAGCACCTTGAGACTTTGGTGTGGGAATCAGAATCATAAATGAAACAAACACAAACTGGTAGAAATTACCAAAACTATCACACCACAAATGGAGGAAAGATCCCAAAAACATGATTATGAAATTCATTGAAAAATCATTTTCCTACTTTCAAGTTGAGAAATCGTTAAAAAAGTGAAGCAAATGCTTTTCCAACCCATTTTGTTTTAATAATAATAGACATTGTTTTGTCTCTTGAGGTTTACCTGTTTCATTTTATCTTACAAATTACGCGTCACTTTTGTCTTTATCTAAAACTATACTATTTAAAGAGATTTTGGTATTGAATTTATAGAGCGTTTTTGTTAATTTTCATTTAAGGAGTCATTGAGTTTATCGCTTGACGTAGAATGAAGCAGATAAGATTCAAAAACTAGATGCTAACTTGAAGCACATGAATGTGCGCTGTAATGTTTGTGAGGTTGTTAAGTATGGTAGAAATTCTTCAAAGATAAAAAAACCAAAGATTTACAACCATTGTTTCATTAAAAAAAAAAGAGCAGTTTAACTTCATTTGATTTCATGGTTGACAACCCAGAAAGGTTTTCTTGTTGCAGTTCATGATGATGAGGAAGAACTGAAGGGTTTTGATTGGTTGGATCTGGTTTTTGTGAGAAGAGAAAGAGAGGAGTTGTGAAGATGGCAGGAGGGCATATCGGACCAGCTGGTGTGGCAAAGGAGAGGGCTGAACAATATCAAGGGAGGGTTACATTTTATGTGGTTATTGCCTGCCTTGTGGCTGCTGTTGGTGGGGCAATTTTTGGTTATGATATCGGAATTTCAGGTACTCTTCTTCCTGTTAAAAAATGTTCATGAAATCAACACTTTTTACCGCTCTTTTCTTTTTGTTTTACTTTTTGGTCCCCTAGCTAGAAGAGGAACTGATGATGTTTAGACATAGAAAGAAATGAACTAGTATGCTAATCTGCATGAAAGTTACATAACTTTTGTTGTGGTTCTGATTCTGATTCTGAGGAGAGGAACAAAATATACTTAGTATGCAATTGATGTACAAAATGAATATATTCTTCCATATTCTGAAATTAACTTATAGGTTTGTGATTTGAATTTGCTTGTTTCGAAGTGTTTGACACTGTGTAGTCCTGTATTGATTCTAGTGGAATACACAATTTGCAGGAGGGGTGACATCTATGGATCCATTTCTTAAGAAATTCTTCCCTGCTGTTTATAAGAAAAAGGGTCTTGCACATGAAAACAACTACTGCAAATTCAACGATCAAGGGCTTGCAGCATTTACATCTTCTCTATACCTAGCTGGTTTGGTTGCATCCCTAATAGCAGCACCAGTTACGAGGAATTACGGTCGCCGTACAAGTATAATTTTTGGCGGGGTCAGTTTTCTTATAGGTTCAACATTAAATGCTGCAGCTGTCAACCTAGCAATGCTCCTCTTGGGTCGGATTATGCTTGGCATTGGCATTGGTTTCGGAAATCAGGTATCCTGTTTTGCTTGGAGCTACTTTTTGAAGTAAACTCTGTGGCAAAGAAATTGCTTGTTTTTGTATCTTAACAGGAATGTGTTGCTTGAGGCAATAATCAATTAGTGACTTGCTTCTGAAATGTGATTGATGCAAAGATAATAGAATGTTTAGTAGTGTTGCTAAATAGCTAACTTAATGTTGTTTGAAGGCTGTTCCGCTATATCTATCAGAGATGGCTCCAACCCATCTTCGAGGAGCCTTGAACATGATGTTTCAGTTGGCAACTACCCTGGGAATATTTACAGCAAACATGATCAATTATGGAACACAGAAGCTTGAATGGGGATGGAGGCTCTCACTTGGACTAGCTGCATTTCCAGCTACAATTATGACTCTGGGAGGGCTATTTCTTCCTGAAACACCGAACAGTTTGATCGAAAGGGGACATTTGGAGACAGGGAGAAAACTCTTAGAGAAAATCAGAGGAACCACACATGTCGACGCTGAGTTTCAAGATATGCTTGATGCAAGTGAATTGTCTAACTCTATAAAGCATCCTTTCAGAAACATCCTTCAGAAAAGGAACAGGCCGCAATTAGTTTTGGGAATCTTCATGCCAATGTTTCAGATCCTCACAGGCATAAATTCAATTCTTTTCTATGCTCCAGTGTTGTTTCAGTCCATGGGGTTCGAGGGAAATGCTTCTCTCTACTCCTCAGCTTTAACTGGAGCAGTTTTAGCATCATCAACGGTTCTTTCTATTGCAGCTGTAGATAGATTAGGCCGTAGACTGTTACTTATCACTGGTGGAATACAAATGATTACATACCAGGTAAATATTGCACACACTTTGTCATTGTACATTAGCTCATACTGGTGTATCAAGTAGAAATAAAACCATCAAAACATGCCAGAAATCCTGAGCACAATCCCCTCATTTTAGAAAATGCATCATTTCTAACTGTTCTCTCTTTTTAATTTGTATGCAAACAGGTAGTAGTTTCCATAATCTTGGGGCTAAAGCTTGGCAACAATCAAGAGCTGTCAAAAGGCTTTTCGGTACTGGTGGTGATTGTGATTTGCCTGTTTGTATTAGCTTTTGGATGGTCATGGGGACCTCTAGGGTGGACAGTGCCAAGTGAGATATTCCCATTAGAAACGCGATCAGCAGGACAAGGTGTCACCGTTGCTGTAAACCTTTTATTCACATTCATCATAGCGCAGAGTTTCCTTTCCCTCCTCTGCGAGCTCAAGTTCGGGATCTTCCTGTTCTTTGCTGGATGGATTATCATAATGACCATATTTGTTTTCTTCTTCCTGCCTGAAACCAAGGGAGTTCCAATTGAAGAAATGATACTCCTGTGGAGAAAGCACTGGTTCTGGAAAAAGATCATGCCGGATATCCAATACGAGCAGCCTCAAGGTACATAAGAATGAAAACAGCAGAAGCAGGTTGAGCTAGCTTCACAGAAAAGATGTAACTGAGAGATGTCGTAAACTTGTAATCATGTCTTAACCAAGTAAATAATTTGTATATACAGAGTCTTTTAGCTTAATTTACCCAAAAGTTACTAGCAATAAACACAGCCAGAGTTTTAAGTCGCATCCTTTGAGAAATAATATTCTGCCAAATTCTGTGATGATTTTGATAAGCTACTGTATATTTTTCTCAAAATCATGTATTGTCAAAGAGCAATAAGCATATTTTCATCTCTTTTAAGTGATATTAACATTCCCACCAGATTAATCTAACTCATGCTTAAGTACTGTACTTGAACCTGCAAGTGCTTCTGCATCTTATAATCACTTCTAAAGGAAAAATAACCCCTTTGATTGCATTTCCCCCACCTAGAGTTTGGGTTTACTCTTCCAGACCCTGCAGTTTTAAACTACTGGATAGACCCCTCTCATTCTAAACTATGTAAGGGCCGAATGTGTATATTTTATATAAATATTGTTTTATCAATAACTTTAAGTTAATGTCCCCTTATGGGTATTTTCGTTTCGGTGTAAAAAAACATTATTTCAGGGTTAGAAATTTATAATTAAGGGGAGTATTTCCTAATGTTTAAAAGGACAAGATCTCTAGTCAACCACCTTTGGATGGTCGAGTGGTTCGATAGAGACTCTTGGATGTATTACTCAAGGGGTTTTGAGTTCGAGTGGTTTGATAAGGGCTCTTGGCCACCCACCGAAGCTCTTACCCGACTAGTAGTTATAGGGTCCCAAGGATTAATCCGGTGCAATTAAACTGGCCCAAACACCCTCAATCATTAAGGAAAAAAAAAAAAAATTCAGGATCTCTAGTCGTGCACCATAATGGCAAAATGATAGACCTCCCCTTAAGAAGGTGTATCAATATAAAGGGCATAAGGTTAAAAAGGCATGAGAGTGCATGTGTGTTAGTGGAGGTTGGTTAGGGGTTATTGGCGTGTGAAGAATCAAGTGGTTAATGGGAGGAATAATTCAGTTAAAGGATTAGTATAAAAGAGAGGTGTGAGTTTAGGGAGATACAGAGATTATTAAGAGTTATTAAAGGAGGCCCCCTGCTCCTCGAATTGTTGGGACTATTACTTTCGTTTGTTTATTGATAATTGTTCTGGTGATTGTCATTTCCATTCCATTAATACAATTACGAATTATTTCAAAATTACATTGTTCTTTATTTTTCTGCCATTTTTGTCTATTGTGTTGATAGGTTTGTGTGAGATTGGTAGGAAGTTCCATCAAATTGGTATTAGAGCCTTGTTTTGGTAATGACTAAATCGAAAATGGAGTAGAATGTTGAGTAATTAGAGAAGGAGATGGGGAGAGTAGAGAAGGAAACGGGGAGTGTGAAGGAAGAGTGGGGAAGCATCAAGGGTTACCTCCTTGAGCTTCGAGAATGGATGAGGTTGAAGGAGGAAATGGAGGCTAGTACTAGCCACGATTAAGGCAAGATGAGTTAAGGTGAGCACTCAAACAGCGACGACAACGGCGTGGTTGATCAAACTAAGGAAACAGAAAGTTCAAAGGATAAGAGGAAGAGTAAGAAATTGGAGTTGTCGGTGTTCAACAGAGAAGATCCTTACGGTTGGACTTTCAAAGCTGTGTAAGGAATCGGTATATCCAACACAGTGGAAATATTAAAATTAAATGACAAATCGATTCCCTTAATGCCCAAAATCAGAGTACAGATTATACAGTTTATATGTTAAATAAAAAATTATGCAATAATATAAATGATCAAAGTAAAGATTAGAGTTCATATACACGTTTGGAGGCTCTTTCAAACTTATTTCTGACTAGGATTCGCTATCGATTCAAAATAGAATCGAACCAGTAGTAATCCACACAAAGATAACCCAAAGAGCTAAAAAGAGATTTGTTAGATCCTCTTTAGCTTCAAGAACCAAATTGAATCAAAGAAAACTTTGATTCAATAAACCAAGGATGGTGTGAGAGTAGAGAGAAAATGGGAGAGAGGGCTACCTCCTTTCAATGGTTGAATAATGACACAAATGAAAAAAATCATTTTTTTCTCTCAATACACATGCACTTATATAGTGCATGTGTAAAACCCTATTCCTATGAAGAATAGGCTTAGGCTCCAACCCAAACTAGCCCTTATGTCCAAACACTCCCAATTTGTATTTTATTTTTATTATTATTATTCTAATTAAAATCAATTAATATATTTATAAAATATATTAACATTTAATAATAATAATAATTCATTTAAATATATGCGTATATATATATTTAAATATAATCTCACTTATTTAATTTTAACATCAAATTAAATATAGGCAACAACCTTAGCAAATTTAATTGCACTGTGAGATTACCAAAATACCCTTTCGTACTAAAAGACGAAAATGCCCCTTGCACAAACTGATTCTTAAATTATCTTCTATATGTGTGACCCGTAGGCTCCTCATCATACCAGCAGTGAGTAGTATCGCGATTAACATCAATTAATCGTCTCATTACACACAGACCAAGATGGGCCCCTAACAAGACATCATGACCACTCGATAAATTCAGATTCAGCGAAATTGCTACCTGTCAATGATATGGTTACCATGCAATCAAATATTTTCATCATCTGTTATCTCATCGAGACTGAAGTACAGAAATAGTGTCAACCTCAATTACTCTCGATATGTTTATATTCAGTAACTAAACCAATGATCGGAATAATAAATTAGATTGGGCAACAACTCAATCTCATTGTGGCCACAGTTTTAGTGTCATTGCCATTTACTGAATTGCACCATGAGATAACTTCTCCTGTACCCAAGAGTGATGAATCCTCTGTTGATCCACCATAGTCTTGATACACTCCTTGATGCAGCCAATCATTACCATATTGACAGCTCTAAATAGAACTGCGTTGGGCTATTGTCAAACTACACCAATCGATGCACAAGGCGTTCCGGTGATCTCAAGTCTAAGGATCACTTGCACCTCCATTCATTAGAGGATTTATTCCATAGATACTGGGGTTACCATCTATATGGTCGAATCCTCTAGTGGGTCAGTCCAGTGAACTTGCCTACAGCAAGCACCCATGTGTTGCACCAGGTTGTCAGCAAACAACATTGACAAGTGAGATCGGTCACTGTCTTTCGACATGGTCGTTCAACACTATGATAGTCTTACCGTATTATCTGTGCCCTTGGTCAGAATAATACTGGGGCTACTGATGTTTCTAGAATGCACTGAGAAAGAAACACTCTATGAATAGAGATAAAGAAAAGAACCAATTCTCTTAGAGTAAAGAGAAAGAAAGAACTAGCACTAGAGGATAAAATGATTATTAAGTGCTGCAGAAAAGAAAAGAAAATAGGTTGTGCAATGGGGAACTCGTGAGTGTGGAGTTATCCTCATGTAAACCGTTGTGAGAAAGAGCGGTCTCCGCCATGAGAGAGCGGAATGCATGTAAACCGTTGTGAGAAAGAGCGGTCTCTGCCATGAGAGAGCGGAATGCATGTAAACCGTTGTGAGAAAGAGCGGTCTCCGCCACGAGAAAGCGGAATGCATGTAAACTGCTATGAGAGAGAGCGGTCTCCGCCATGAGAAGGCGGAATGAGAACGAGAAAAAGAAAAGAATAGAAATAAAAGAAAAGAAAGAAAATGAGATTTTTGAATTAGAAAAAAATGACAAGAGTACGAAAAGAATTGATGTGTAATACACGGGAATTATAGAGTAGGAGATTTTACTTACTGGGCATCTTTATGCTCACTCCGTTGTTTTCTTTGTTGTACAGGACATAGGTGAGGACCTGGTCGGAGGGACGTCGGCAAGCGGGGAGACTTGGCTGCACTGTCCACTGTTTTCGTTTTTGAGAGTCTCTTGTACAAATAATGTTGTACTTTGTAAAGAATGTAATTATTAAGTAAAGAAAAAAATTTTGGGCCCAACTGTTTTAATAAAAATGCTGTCCTTTTATTAACATATATATTATGAATATGGTAGACGAAAGTAGTTGTTACAGAAGCTCTTACCCGACTAGTAGTTATAAGGTCCCGAGGATTAATCCGGTGCAATTAAACTGGCCCAAACACCCTCAATCATTAAGGAAAAAAAAAGAGTCAGGATCTCTAGTCGTGCACCATAATGGCAAAATGATAGACCTCCCCTTAAGAAGGTGTATCAATGTAAAGGGCATAAGGGTAAAAAGGTGTGAGAGTGCATATGTGTTAGTGGAGGTTGGTTAGGGGTTATTGGCGTGCGAAGAATCAAGTGGTTAATGGGAGGAATAATTCAGTTAAAGGATTAGTACAAAAGAGAGGTGTGAGTTTAGGGGGATATAGAGATTATTAAGAGTTATTAAAGGAGGCCCCCCGCTCCTCGAATTGCTGGGACTATTACTTTCATTTGTTTATAAATAATTGTTCTGGTGATTGTCATTTCCATTCCATTAATACAATTACGAATTATTTCAAAATTACATTGTTCTTTATTTTTCTGCCATTTTTGTCTATTGTGTTGCTAGGTTTGTGTGAGATTGGTAGGAAGTTCCATCAAATTGGTATTAGAGCCTTGTTTTGGTAATGACTAAATCGAAAATGGAGTAGAATGTTGAGTAATTAGAGAAGGAGATGGGGAGATTAGAGAAGGAAATGGGGAGTGTGAAGGAAGAGTGGGGAAGCATCAAGGGTTACCTTCTTGAGCTTCAAGAATGGATGAGGTTGAAGGAGGAAATGGAGGCTAGTACTAGCCACGATTAAGGCAAGATGAGTTAAGGTGAGCACTCACGACGACAATGGCGTGGTTGATCAAACTAAGGAAACAAAAAGTTCAAAGGATAAGAGGAAGAGTAAGAAATTGGAGTTACCGGTGTCACGTTCAACGGAGAAGATCCTTACGGTTGGACTTTCAAGTGTAAGGAATCGATATACCCAACACAGTGGAAATATTAAAATTAAATGACAAATCGATTCCCTTAATGCCCAAAATCAGAGTACAGATTATACAGTTTATATGTTAAATAAAAAATTATGCAATAATATAAACGATCAAAGTAAAGATTAGAGTTCATACGCACGTTTGGAGGCTCTTTCAAACTTATCTCTGACTAGGATTCTATCCACACAAAGATAACCCAAATAGCTAAAGAGAGATTTGTTAGATCCTCTTT